CTTATACATACACTCCTATCCATCTATTTCGTGCCAAATGGCCCTCATAGAAACCTCCCCGCAAATTGTACCATCCGGAAACCATTTACAAGCCCCCGGTCATACTCTATGCAGCGGCGCTTACGGTTCTGCGTGCCTTGTACCTTTCTTCTCCTCTGAGAAACCGCACCTTCTCTTCGTCTGTCAGTAGTTGAAGCTTGGGAATGGTTAGGGCGCCCCCATGCCATGCCAACGGGACCATCGAGAAGACACAGCGGACCTGGTTTTGAATTCGGAGGGGAATTGTATCAATACTTGTATCTACCTACACTATTCACAGACGCGCACAGTGGTGTACTAGGCATACCTTGGCATCAATAGTAGCTATATTACGGCCTACCTACCCTGGGGATACCTTGGTATCATTGGTAGCTGTACTACCGCCTACCTACACTGGGCATACCTTGGCATCGGTTTTGCGGGTTTCGATGGGTGCGTACGCAGTGACAATGACTTCCACTTCAATGCTCCGCTCGCTCACATACGTTATCCGCCCACTCACAGACATGATTTCTCCTGTGATTCAAAATACACGTGGCTATTACTGACAATACAAATGAACAATCTATGTTATAATGTTATAGTTATATAGAGTGGGACAGGGTGCGATACAGCACACCACATATAAGGGATATTACTGGTGGGCAAGAGTGGGCAAACAATATAAATGAACATATACGCTAAACTATCTATGTTGTAGTTATATAGAGTGTACCAGGATGCCATACAACACACCGCACATATGTGGTAAGGATTGCCACCCTTTAGCGACGGGATGGAATCAGGTTACGTTGGTACCGAAAAACCAGTAGTGTCTCTCGCGATAGTATGTGGTCGAAACAGGCTGTCATGCACGTCGAAGATATCGGACTGAACTCGCACACACTCAGAAGTAACGTAATGCATTATATATCGTCGGACCGTTATCCTTTGAGGCGATATACTGCCAAGGGTGAGCACAGAAACATACAACATATGATGCACCTCACCTACGTACATACACCCGTTCACATGATATCCAAGGACTTACAGGTACATTTGCACCTCACCTACGAATATATACCCGTTTGTATAAACTTCAAAGACGAAGACTTACAGGTACAATGCGCTTGTTGTGCATTGAGATTGAGGGCTAGTCTAATATACCGTTTGTTTTCCTTGTCCCCATATACAACAACCCGACATGTAGTAGACGTTTAGACAGCAAGACGAGCCGGAAATAAAGATCTATACCAAAAATCAAAAGTGCACTCGACAAATAGCGGAAGATCACCTGCAAACGGCAACAACCACGTCTCACCCAAGCGCACCCGTTCCAAAATGAAATCCAAATTGGAGAAGAAGAAAACCTGAAAACGAAATTTTATAAAACAGTGCGTACCCAAATTAATGGGCTTGAAAAACTCCATCTGACTCAGCGCTACCGTCACCACATTGCTACGCGCGTGTCTCACGGCCGCAATGCCCGCACACGTGTCCATGAGTTTCATGATGACGCCGGCTGTGGCTCTAGTACAGGTGGTGTGGTAGTAGGGTATGAATGGATTTGTGTTTAGAAGGTGCCCATGGGGTGTAGTGTGTCATAGTGTGTAGTACAGTGTAGTAGAGCCCATGAGGTATAGTGTGTTGTAGTGTGTCATGGTGTGTAGTACAGTGTAGTAGAGCCCATGAGGTGTAGTGTGTTGTAGTGTGCCATTGTGTGTAGCACAGTGTAGTAGAGTCCATAAGGTGTTGTGTTATGTGTGTCATGGTGTGTAGTACAGTGTAGTAGAGCCCATGAGGTGTAGTGTGTTGTAGTGTGCCATAGTGTGTAGCACAGTGTAGTAGAGCCCATGAGATGTAGTGTGTTGTAGTGTGTCATGACGTGTAGTACAGTGTAGTAGAGCCCATGAGGTGTAGTGTGTTGTAGTGTGTCATGATGTATCGCACAGTGTAGTAGAGTGATGTGTAGTGTGTTGTAGTATGTCATGGTGTGTAGCACAGTGTAGTAGAGCCCATGAGGTGTAGTGTGTTGTAGTGCGTCATGGTGTGTAGTACAGTGTAGAAGAGTCTGTGCCATCTGTAGCGTATTCATACGAGTCTGTAAATGGTCTTCTCTACCACTACAATGTTCCATACCAACAACGTAATACGTTAATGCAATACGTACGGATGGAGAACACATGTCATGCGACAAACTGCATCCGCAGCTACCACCCGCCCAAGCGCACCTGAGTGCTGCTGTGGTTGTGCTCAACATATTACTACAACCCATGAACGGACAGCTGGTTTATGACATCCTGACAGGAGTGGTCTTAGGGTGGTAGGGTTTTAGGGTATTAAGGTATTAGGGTATTAGGGTTTTAGGGTATTAGGGTTTTATGGTATTATGATTTTAGGGTATTAGGGGTTTAAGGTATTAGGGTATTAAGGTTTTAGGGTATTAAGGTTCCAGGGTATTAGGGTTTTAGGGTATTATGGTTTTAGGGTATTAAGGTTTTAAGGTATTAGGGTTTTAGGGTATTAAGGTTTCAGGGTATTAAGGTTTTAGGGTATTAAAGTTTTAAGGTATTAGGGTTTTAGGGTTTTAGGGTATTAGGGTTTAAGGGTATTATGATTTTAGGGTATTAGGGTTTTAGGGTATTAAGGTTTTAAGGTATTAGGGTTTTAGGGTATTAAGGTTTTAAGGTATTAAGGTTTTAGGGTATTAGGGTTTTTATGATTTTAGGGTATTAAGGTTTTAAGGTATTAGGGTTTTAGGGTATTAAGGTTTTAAGGTATTAAGGTTTTAGGGTATTAGGGTCTTAGGGTGTTAAGGTTTTAGGGTATTAAGGTTTCAGGGTATTAGGGTTTTAGGGTATTAGGGTTTTAGGGTATCAAGGTTTTAGGGTATTACGGTATTACGGTTTTAAGGCTTTAGGGTATTAGGGTTTTAGGGTATCAGGCATTTAGGATTATATAGCCCTCCCCTAATTAAAGTTATTTTAGGAGGCTATGCCCTATTCCAGCTGCGGTGCGGATGCGAGTGGTGTGGTACATGCCCACAACCACACTCGTTCTGTAGTACTTACAAACACACTTGTTCGGTAACACCTATAAACACATTCGTTCTGTAGCACTTAAAGCCACACTCGTTATGTTGCACCTACTTGTTGTCTTCGCAGTGTGAGGGGCACACCATCTGAGCCAGCTCAGTGAACGACCATCCCACCGTCCGCGTGTCTCCGTCATTCAGGTGCGTCTCGCGACCTGTATTTGGAACGCGTTAGTCCAAGCCAACCGCAAGCCGAGATCAGCACACATAGCGTATTGTTGGTATCATACGTGAGTGGAGTCAAATCGTAAACGTTCAATTGCGTCTGTGTAGATATCATACGACGCAATGCAGGAACACTCCATATGAATATCAGCAGTACAATCGCACCACAACCTGCAACTCAACTCAACTCAACTCAAGGTAACTCCACTCACAACAACTTCAATCACAACAACTTCACTCACAGGAACTTCACTCACAACAGCCTACGGTCTTACCCAGACCCCTACGGTAGTCCTCGAGATCGCTGACAACCGGCTGGATGTGCTTCAGGGACTTGGCTGTGGCATGCTCCTGGACGACGAGTACGCAATACAGTTCGTGTTTTCAGTACACAATTAGACGAACTCGCTCCATATGACAATATTAAAGACACACTCACTCAATATGACAATATTAAAGACACACTTACTCCATATGACAATATTAAAGACACACTCACTCCATACGAAAGTATCAAAGACAAACTCACGCCATGTGAAAGTATTGAACACAAACTAGAGACGATGATGACCCAGCCGTAGGGGTATCGGAATAGTATACTCTGACGAAACAGCTGAATCGCTTTCCCTCAGAGGTAGTGTCTGGTGAATGGTCGGCGATGCAAAAGGTCGCAGAATGAAGGCACGGCCCAGCATGCGTCTGTGCCTCTATACGTATCAACAGTTCAGAAGTGAGAGGTACCATAGAATCACAGCAACACCTCATGTGAAGGTGCATCTGAACAGTTCAGAAGTGAGGGTTACCATAGCATCACAGCAACACCTCATGTGAAGGTGCATCTGAACAGTTCAGAAGTGAGGGTTACCATAGTATCACAGCACCACCTCATGTAAAGGTGCATCTGAACAGTTCAGAAGTGAGTGCTATCATAGCATCACAGCAACACCTCATGTGAAGGTGGATCTGAACAGTTCAGAAGTGAGGGTTACCATAGCATCTCAGCAACACCTCATGTGAAGGTAAATCTGAACAGTTCAGAAGTGAGGGGTACCATAACATCACAGCAACACCTCATGTGAAGGTGCATCTGAACAGTTCAGAAGTGAGGGGTACCATAACATCACAGCAACATCTCATGTGAAGGTGCATCTGGGCTGCGCTACAGTACATTGGAGATCCTACAGGCTGTGCGATTGGCCCCGATAAGTGCACCTGCACCTGCACCTGTAGAAGTGCACCTGCATCTGCACTTGTATAAGTGCACCTGCACCTGTATAAGTGCACCTGCACCTGCACCTGTATAAGTGCACCTGCACCTACACCTGTAAATGTGCACCTGTACCTGTACCTGTGGGACCATGAACCGAACCTCTCATAGTGGTACACACACAGCGGGTCATACGCATTATGCAACAGACGACGTACAGTATATTCAACTCTAAGCAGAATGTGTGTAGATCGCTTAGCACTCATTACTACTGTCAAACGGACCATCAGAATATCAACTGGCCAGTCATATGCATTATCACGTGCATCTACTAGACATGCCGTATACAGATACTTCCGAAACAACTCTACTTGCTCTATCGTATGCGAATACGTTCTATACCACTGGTTGTCTGTGCGATAGACATACCTTCTGACCCTCGGCATACGCTTGCTTCTCGTCGTCATTGATGGGCACTACAGGCGGCACGCGCTGCGGTACTTCGGAGTCTTTTCCTGCCCTAAACGCTACGTACCTACAAGAAAGTGGTTATAAGATCAAGCATAAATCGCTCCTGTTGTGAGTTAGGGGGCCGTAGCCATGTCCTGTCCTAAACTTATGTGACCGCCTGTCCCGTGGCATGTACGCTCGGATTGCGTACGCAACGATTCCACAGTGAGACCATTTTGCACTGTCAAAACCCCACGAAATGTTTCAAGAAACAGACACCGTGTCAAAACCTCACATAATATATTACGAAATGGATACCATCCGTACTATATACATTCTCTTTGAGAGATCAGTGACGCATTTATGGGGGGAGTGAAAATCAGCATCATATTGCCACAGATAGAGCAGCACGCCAACGCCGACCACAAGCACCTACCGCGCACAGTACATGCAATGTGTGTGTATCGTTTGGCGTCCATATTTGGGCGCATACCCATGCTAGCAGTCAGTACAGTGTCATCGTACTACAACACGGGTGCAAACAATCTATACAATCCTAAAACCCCTAAAACCATAAACCCCCTAAAACCTGTACATGCGTATGGATATGTTTAGCCTTCAATAACACCGCTTAACAACGTACCAGATACGTGCCTGATTGCACAGAGTGAGGTGTCCGCTCAGTAAGTTCTCGGCCCAAACGTCCACGTGCACCTGCACAGTCCGATTTGAAGCGTAGGCGACCTGGAATGGAAAAGGTATATACCGAGTGGAATGAGTGAGTACATACAGAGTGCGGTCACACACTTGCGCTGCTATGTAGCAGTACATACAGAGTGAGTATGTAGCAGTACATACAGAGTGAGTATGTAGCAGTACATACAGAGTGAGTATGTCGCAGTACACACAGAGTGAGTATGTAGAAGTACATACAGAGTGAGTGTGGTTGCTGTAGCAGTATATCTTCTCTGTGCTAGACCTATAACACCCCCGAGTGTACCCCTTATCCGTATGATGAGTGTCAATTCGGTAAAAACATGGTGACAGGTTCTGCAGGGCGTGTAGCTATACTGCAGCCGTGGTCACTCTATGAGAGTCATACACCTGATACAAAGGCGACTATCTATAGTCATAACTTGTACTGAGCGTCTGCTGTCTGTGGAAGTAAACTCTTGAAGCGAAGCCATTATCAGATATACTACAGCCTTGGTCACTCTATGAGAGTCATACACCTGATACAAAGGTGACTTATCTATAGTCATAACTTGTACTGATCTTCTGTCTGTGGAAGTACACTCTTGAAGCAAAGCCACTAACAGCTGTACTACAGCCTTGGCCACTCTATGAGAGTCATACATCTGATACAAAGGCGACTATCTATAGTCATAACTTGTACTGAGCTTCTGTCTGTGGATGTGCACTCTTGAAGCAAAGCCATTATCAGATGTCTGGCGCGGCCTTGTCTAACCACAGTCGTGGCATGATTGCACACTATTGTGATATTTGTATGCGCAGGCTAGGGAGAGAGAGACCCACAGAACGGCCACTGTTATAACGAACTATAACAGCAATGTAGCCAACCAACAGTCATGGCATCAGTGCACACTACTATATTATATGTTTGCGGAGGCTGGGCAGTGAGAGAGCCACCGGTATTATGAACTATACCAGCATTATAGCCAACCAACAGTCGTGGCATCAGTGCACACTACTATAATACATGTCTGCGGAGGCTGGGCAGGGAGAGAGCTACGGAACGGCCACTGCTAGAATGAACTATGATAGCATTGTAGCCAACCAACAGTCGTGGTATCAGCACCATACAGTGGTCATGGGATACACACGTTTACTGGGACCGTTTACAGCAGCCGAGTGCTCTACCACGCCTACGCATGATATCTTTACGGCTGTATGCACGGAAGTGGTAAGGTCACCGTACTCTCTGTAGAGCATAACTACACCACTACATTGGATACAACCTGAGGGCATGGGATGGGAAGGGTAACTACACCAACACATGAGCCACATACACGGCAATGCATCTGTTAGACAAAACAGGTAAGAGTGTATGTAGCAGCAAAGAGTGGGGAATCGTAGTCAGTTGCCTCTAGACTAGAGTTGGGCCAACTCGTACACACTACAACCTGCATGAGACATGCATACACACACCTTTGCATTCACAACCGCACACTGGCCTAAATACATGGGGTTGATGAACGCGCTCTTCTCCATACGCGCAGAGTATGGCACCAGCGGTTGATCGTCTGCACGGAAGTACTTTGTAATCAGTTACTGAGCGAAGTATGTACACACGTACCGTACGATGGCGATACCAGCGAGTAAGGAAGGTATTTTGCAGCAATCATGATGCCTTAGAGTTAATGTAGGAGAAAGCTTACCGCATATAGCATCTATTCGTTCAGTGTTGTTGATTAGGGTATATATACATCCATTTATTTTTATAATTATATGTATATATATATATATATATATATATATATATATATATATATATATATATATATATATATATATATATATATATATATATATATATATATATATATATATATATATATATATATATATATATATATATATATATATATATATATATATAT